CTAGTTTCCTATGATGCATAAAGGAATCTGAGGTAGAACCTTTTCCTGCATGCGCGAGAAAAGACTAAGAGACGTGTGCAAAAACATTGTAATCTTCTTCCTCACTATAGTAAAAAATCAACAACCAGCGAACGAAGTAGCTCTAACTTTGAAGGATAAACGCTATAAATCTGTGTTCTTGTTACTTCTGATTTCCTTTTGTTTTATTCTTCTCAGAATTTGGGATTAAGGTTAAATCATAACGTGCTCCACTGGGCATATGTGACTAATTTATTTTCATTTATTTTCGCTCTTTCTCCAGGATGTCCACGTCAATTTCTTCCGAGGCTTCAGGTATATTTTGACTTCAAACTCATAGCACCATTTTAAGTTATCTAGCCACTCTATTTTAGTCAGATACTCAAATTTCATACTTGCCCAATTATATCTACAGGTTCTCATTGGCATGGTGGGCTTACACTTTCACTATGACTGGAGCTGCCGTTGCCAATATCAGATACTCGGTCGTGGTTAACAACGTAGTAACCAAAAGTTTAACCGTCATCCTTTGTGCTGTGGCTACCCTTACAGTTTCATCAGTGCTCGTAACAACTATTATTCATGCCTTCGTACTCGGTGATCTATTCCCAAATGACATACCTGTTGCAATTAGTGATACGAGGCCTAAAACATCCCGGAAATGGTTTCACAAAAGAAATGCCAGCTCGGATAACAGAAATGGAGAAAAGTTCCTCAAATGCTCGAATTGTGATGGTAAAGATATTGAGGCTTCTGTGTTGAAAGATGTCCAGAACAATCACCCTGGCAAGATTCGAGATATGTTAATTCTTCCTGTCGTTCAAGTTCAATAAAACTTTTGTCACCCGATCAATCAACTGAGGAACTTTAGATTTTCGAGTCATCAATGAACTTGATGTGCCAAGAGGAAAATAATCTTTATTCAGTGAAAAAAGAGAGCGTAAGTACATATTTTTGCCCTGTAAATTTGCAGGACGTGTTCCATGGTAAGAAATAATAAAAAAGTCTTCAATTATCATTAGAAAGGAA